GTTAGGACTAAAGTCTAGGTATAGAATCTTGGTACTACAGTTTGTATGGAGTTGTCATTGAACATAACCCTTTCATGTCGAGAGAGGCCCTCTCTAAATTGTTTCTCAGGTCGACATGATCACCCCAGTTCTTTGACTTAGTTTTTCGCTCTATTGTGTGGCTTGAAATTTGTATTATAGTCAATGAAGTTTTAATTTCCTCACATTTTCATATTGGAGTAATGAAATTTTCTTCATGAACTTCGCGTATTGTTTTCTACAGCCATTTAAAGATTGGTTTGTCTGCCTGGGGTCTTGCAGAGTTCTTATTGGAGGAACACTGACATGCAAATTGGGTTGTCACCTGCAAGGAGACATGCACCTGTGGACTTTACATCCTGTCTATGTTAATATAGGATGAGGAAAAGATTGGGGTGGTACTGTAACCTTATGGAACAGAGCTTTTCCACTGTAGCCACCTCAGAATTTACTCTGTTGTCTGCTATCTTTATGTTCTAATTTTTAGGAAATTATAGATTCATCTACCGACTTTCCTGTTATATTCCTTTATCATCTTTTGTGCGCTATTACACATGGTCACACTTGTCAAGGCTTTTGCAAAGTTGTATATTACATCTACATTCGTTTATCTTCTACGATAGGACTTGTCGTTGTGGTCCAGTATTGGGACAGACAGCGAGCGACTGCTCTAAACATTCTGCTGGGTTGTGGTCTGAGGGTATCTAGATGGGTGGTGATTTGCTTCTTAGAACCTTTCAAAGATTTTTATGTATGGGATGTTAGCACTATTGATCTGTAGTTTCTTTGCTATTGCTCTACTGCTCCCTTTGTGGAGTGGGGGCTATGTCTGGGTTTTTAGTAAATGTGGGATGAACCAATGTCGCCATGCTCCTCTGCACAGGAGGTTAAAAGCACGTGATAGGGTTTCTTTGCAGTTTTGGTGAACTTGAGAGTTCACGGTCTGGGCCTGGGGGCAGAGTTGATGGGCAAGTCATTTATCGCCTTTTCAAAGTCAATTTGGGCTTCAGGATAATATCAGATAGGTGTGTGTCTACCAGATTCTCTCTCTCTCATAAAAAAAATCATTTAAGTCTTCAACTCTGTCTGGTTAGTGGCTTGCTAAAAACCGAGTCATGTTGGGACTTGAGTAGCTCACTCATTTCCTTGCTGTCATCTGTGTAGGACCCATCCCATTTAAGTAGGGGCCCAATACTGGATGTTTTTCTAGACTTTGATTTGGCATAAGAAAAGAAATATTTTGGGTTTCTTTCAATTTCATTGATGGCTTTCAGTTCTTCTCAGGTTTCTTGACTCCTGTAAGATTCCTTTAGCTTTAGTTTGATATTTGCTATTTCTTTGACCAGTCTCTCCCTACATATTGCAGATATATTGGCCTCTTGAAGCCGCTCTGTTATTCTTAGCCTTTGCCTGTATAGGGAGCGCTTTTCTCTTTCTAGTTTACATTTCCTTTTTCTTAAGGAAATATGCCTTGAGCATACCTTAAGTGCCACAGAGTTAATTTGTTCTAGACATAGGGTAGGATCCATGTTGCTTAGTCTATCTTCCCAGTTTATATCATTTAGGACTTCGTTTACTTGGTCCCACCTTATGTTTTTGTTACTGAAGTTGAATTTGGTGAAGGCTTCCTCGTGACTGATCATATTTTGTCAGTCTGGGGCCCACCGCATACATGTCTGGACCTCTGTTATGTTATGATCTGACTATATTGTTTTTGATATGATGACATTTTGTATCAGATCATCATTGTTAGTGAAGATGAGGTCCAGCGTATTCTCCAGTTTTGTAAGCTCTATTATTTGCTGGTTTAAGGTGAATTTGGGGCAGAGATTTAAAAGTTTGTGTGTGTGTGAGTTTTCATCTGAGCTGCCTCCTGGTATTATCTCTGCTACAACATTATTTGCTGTATTCCTCCAGTTTCGTTGCCTTAGGTCGAAATCCCCCAGGAGCAAGATGTTGGGGGCAGGAGCTGGAAGATTTTCCAGACAGTGATCAATTTATAAAAGCTGTTCCTGGAATTGTTGGGACCTTGCATCCGGAGGCTTGTATGGAACCACAATGACCAGGTTTGGGTTCTCGATCTTTACTGCTAAAACTTCAACTACATCATTTGAGGCATTTAGTAGTTCTGAGCATATAAGTGACTCTGTGATATACAGGCCAACCCCCCCATCCCCCTTTTACCTTTTCACTCTGTCGCATCTGTATAAGTTGTAACCCGGGATCCATATTTCATTGTCCAAGTGATCCTTCATGTGGGTCTCTGTGAAAACTGCTAACATTGCATTTGACTCCATAAGCAGTCCACGGATGAAAGGTATTTTGTTATTCGTTGCAAACATCCAATCTTTCATAGACAACTCCATGCAAACCTCACAAGATACGGCAAAACACCTCATTGTTAATGATATCTGAAATCTTGAGGCTATATCTACATATTGCACCAATTAGATGAATGAATGGTTTTAACAGAGACTGTAACCCAGTAATGACCAATGTTTTTTAATGGTAATAATAATTTTTTTTTTGAAGACTGTATTCCATAGTTTATTGTGCACATCAACTATATGAGGTACAGTAATTGTAAAATACGAAATGAATATTTCTCTTTAGTGATGTAACAATGCTCACTGGGGTCTGACAAAGATTCATTGGGACCTGTAATCCTTTTTTTTCCCTCTCACAGGATGAGCATGGGGTGCACATTAAACTAGCTGCTTAACCCCTTGACTATCGCAACCCCTCCTGGTGTTGCAAAATTTAAAAAAATAAAAATTATTTTTTCTTATGAAATGATAAGAGAATCTTTTCCCAATTGTAATGACACCAAAAGAACGAAATTTGATGGAAAACTGACGGAATTACGCTCTCGCGAAGTTAGCGACCTCAGCGATATTTACAAATCAGCGATTTCACCCACTTTGAGCTCTATTTTCGGCTAATTTCGTTGTTCCAGTTGACTAAACTCATAGCTATTTCTTTAGAACTCCATTTTTTCTATCGATTGAGTACAAGAAACTGCCCATTTACCGATTTCAACTACCCAATAACATGGTCAGAAATTTGCAATTTGGCCAATTTCATGAAAATTAAAAAAATATGACAATTTCAAAATATGGTCCAAAATGAACAATGCAGACATTCCTGGCTCTAAAATAACATTTTCTTTGTTCATCAGTCACATCTCCAGGCCCCTCTGATATTACTCTTGCTTTCTGTTTTGAATTTTTATTCAAACAAAAAATAGAAGACTTACTGTTATGCAGACTACTGCAATATTGTAATAATTGTACAAATAATGTCAACCCATTCATGACTACATATTAGAATGGCTAGTTGGGCATTTATTGGACAATGACATCATACGTTTACTTTTGAACATTTCCCCTACTTTGAGCTCCATTTCCAGGTTCTTTTTATAGTAAAACCAATCAAAATCACCTCTATTTCTATAATATGTTTTCCATTCTATCAAACGAGACCAAGAAAATGAGAATACAATCATAAATACTATACGAAAATAGACCACTGCGGGTTCCAGGATTTTTTTTATACGATGCACACTGACCACACAGACCCATTCTCTCACATGTGGGCCTACCAGGTTTCTCCTGCTTGATTTGAAGCCGCTAGAGTTTGAGTATATATACATCAAACACAGCGGCTCGTAAGATGTACATGTATATATATGACCGAAACAGTCAAAGGGTTAAGTGACTCAGATTGAAAATTTATTTCCACATGATACATTGTTTGTACAGAAAAGGATGCCACTTGATAATGCAGGTAGAAAGCCCATGGTTTTGTAGAGCATTTTGGGCAAGCTTAAGTTTAACTTAAGACTATAAGGACAATAAACATTATATACAGAAGAACTCCTGTATCCACGGATTCAGTTTCAATGGTTTCAGTTATCTACAGTTTATTGTAGCCCAAAAATATTAAATAGACAATTTCAGAAATAAATGATGATTTTTAAAGGTTTCCTGGCTATCACTGGAGAGGTGAAGAAAATCATTCGTGTATCGAGAAAAGTTGGTGGAGAGGGATTTGTCAATATTATTGATGAAGAAGTGGAAGAAAATATCCAAGAACATTGAGAAGTGTTGACGAATGGGGAATTAGAAGAACTTGTCAAGTCATTGAGAGAAGAAGAGGAAGGTAAGGAAGAAGAAACTAAAACAGAACCAGGAATATGGACATTGGAAAAATTTGGCAAATTGTTTGGGATTGCACAGGCTTTAAAGGAAAAAATCCTGGATTACGATCCTGTGATGGAACGCAGCATTAAAGTCGCTTCCTATCATGATTTTTTCCAAAAGGTTAAAAAACAAACCATGTCCACTATCGACAACCCCCAACCATCAAATTTGTAATGTCTTACTCTACATAATTTATCAGTTAAACTTTATCATAGGTATGTAAAAGAAAAAAATGACTCGTATGTAGGTTTCACTACTATCCACAGTAAGTCTTGGAATGTATCGCCCGCAGATATAGGAGGACTATTGTATATGTATGTAAGGACATTAAGTGTACACTCAAAATTGATTCAGTGAGTATGTAATGAATGTATATGTAAGTAGATTAACTGACTGACTAGATTACAGGTAAATAATCAGTATTGTAGCCAGGCTGATAAGAGTGGACTTACTGATTTACAAAAAGGCCATCTACAGAGGGAGGGTAAACCAGAATTGGAAACTCATTCATTAGCTGTTGTGATAGAATTATGCAGACATCACAGTTCAAATTACCCTCCAAACTGCAACATCCCTCATCTTCCTGGCTCAAGGCCTGGCTTTCACATTGATTCTTTAACCCATTCTTTGTTCACTGCATAACCCAGTAAACTGTTTATTTGCTAGTTGTCCATCCCTGTTCTCCTGTGTTGCAGGGACATAATATTTATGTATTAATCTTTACTCTGTGTGACACAGGAACATGCTGTTTATGTATTGAATTTTGTGTTTGTGTTGCAGGGACATTTCCCATTGATACAACCAAGACACGGCTGCAGATCCAAGGTGGACGCTGTGATGCTGGGGGGGTGATCACCAAGCGCTACCGTGGGATGCTTCATGCACTCCTTAAAATATCTCATGAAGAGGGAATCAGGGCACTTTATTTTGGGTCAGTACCAGCCTTTTCTGCCATTATTATTATTATTATTATTATTATTATTATTATTATTATTATTATTATTATTATTATTATTATTATTATTATTTATTATACAGTGGACCCCCGGTTATCGGCTGTAATCTGTTCCTGAAGGTCGGCTGATAACCGAAATGGCCGATAACTGAATTAATATTTCCCATAAGAATTAATGGAAATAAAATTAATTCGTTCCAAACAAAGATATTCACAAAAAAATAATTGTTTTTGCAATTATGTAAGTATTACATACCTATATTGAAGGCTAATGCTGGCTTCTGGAGGATAGGGAGGAGGAAAGAGGGAGGAGTTAGTGTTTGGAAGGGGAATCCCCCTCCATGAAGACTTTAGGTAGCAAAGCGTTCTCTGGGGTTACTTCCCTTCTCTGTCTTTTAATGCCACTGGGACCAGCTTGAGTCACTGGACCCCTGTCTCACAAAATAACTGTTCAGAGTGCTCTGTTTCTGGCATCTCTCTAAGATTTCCCTGAAGTGGGACAGGGTTTTGTCACTAAACATGTTGCAGATATGGCTTGTTTCAGCTTTGTCAGGGTGGTGTTTCTCTACAAAAGCTTGCATCCTGGTTCACATTGCACACACCTCTTTAATCTCTGAAGAAGGCACCTCCTTCACTCCCTCTTCCTCCTCCTCTGAAGCAAGTTCCTCAGCTGCAGTCTGTTGCTGTTCAAGTTGAAGCTCTTGCAGCTCTTCAGTGGTAAGCTCTTCCCTGTGGTCCTCCTCCACTTCCACATCCTCACCACTCACCTCCAACCCCAGGGACTCCCCAAAGACACAATAGAGTCCACAGGGTTGGCAGGGTCAGGGTCACGGTGAGCCTCAAACCCTTCAAAATCCCTCTCTTGGACACAATCTGGCTACAGTTTTCTCCAGGCAGAGTTCAAAGTCCTGAAAGTCACTCCTTCCCAAGCCTTGCCTGTAAGGCTTATGCAATGGAGGATAGTGAAAAGATTCCTCCAGAGCTCTCTTAGGGTCAACTGAGTGTCCGAGGTCACTCCAATGCACTTTTGAAACACTGCTTTTGTGTAGAGTTTTTTGAAGTTAGAAATGACCTGCTGCTCCATGGGCTGGAGGAGAGGAGTGGTGTTAGGAGGCAAGAACTTCACTTTTATAAAACACTTGGTCTAACAAGTCTGGAGGATGTGCAGGAGCATTGTCCAGTACCAGGAGGCACTTGAGTGGCAATATCTTTTCCAGGAAGTATTTTTTCACACTTGAGCCAAACACATCATTAACCCACTCTTTGAAAATTTGCCTTGTGACCCATGCCTTATGATTAGCTTTCCACATCACACACAATCTATTCTTCATGACATTGTTTTTCTTGAACACACTCGGATTTTCTTAGCGATACATGAGTAAAGGTTTCACTTTGAAATCCCCACTAGCATTACCACACAACAAAAGAGTAAGCCTGTCTTTCATAGGCTTGTGTCCTGGCAGTGCCTTTTCCTCCTTGGTAATGTAGGTCCTGTTTGGCATTTTCTTCCAAAACAGGCCTGTTTCATCACAATTGAAAACTTGTTGGGGTTCGAATCCTTCAGCCATTACATAGTCCTGGAATTCGTGAACATACTTTTCAGCTGCACGTTTGTCAGAACTTGCAGCCTCACCATGCCTTACAACACTGTATCCTAATACTCTTCTTAACTCTATCAAACCATCCTTTACTGGCCCTAAATTCACAAACTGCAGCACTTGTTTCAGGCATTTTCTTTGCAAGATCCTCATGCAACTGCTTTGCCTTCTCTCAAGTAGTCGACTCCACTACACTGTCTCCCACTAATTCTTTTTCCTTAATCCACAATAATAATAACGTTTCCATTTCTTCCATTATCAGTGTCCTTTGCCTAGTTAGAAAAGCTACTCCTTTTGCAACATTTGCATCTTTGATTTGTTCTTTCTTTGCCAGGATGGATGTATAATTGTTTTTTTATTCTTGCTGTACATCCTGGCAAGTTCCACCACCTTCATACCACTCTCATATTTTTGTATCACTTCACGCTTAAATTCCATGATGTTTCTCACTTTCTTTACCACAGGAACTTTACTAGGAAATTTCTTTGGAGCCATTGTTACTTCACAGTTGCACTGCAAGAAAAACCACTAAAAACAATGGTAAACAAGTGAAATGTTTGGATGTATGAGCAGAAGCTTCCTCAGCCACCGAGAAACACGGCCAAACTGAAGCGCAAGCTGCCCCAGCTGGCGGATGGATGCATCCAAAATAGCCGATAACCGAGCGAACGGCTGATAACCGAGCGCCGAAAACCCCACAATAACCGAGTTGGCCGATAACCAGACCGGCCGATAACCAGGGGTCCACTGTATACATAAATAATCAGGTTTGAATTATTCTGTGGATCTAGAGCCCTTCAAGGTAAAAAAAAAAAAGTCATGTATATACACATTTACAAATGCGAAAAATGCTGGTTCCAGAACACCCTCCAGATAGATACGTACCAGTAAACTTGAAAGTACTTGAGGGCCTTGTCCCAAATCTGCACACCTGTAATAGTGTATTGGAGTGAGAGCTGTGGGAGGATGTGTAAAATAAACCCAGTAAAAAGCAGGGGCACTGTTGGCACAAGAGAACATTGTATCAACATCCAGGGCCCCAGACTATTCAACATTTTACCAGAAGATATTGGAAACACTGCTTGGAAACCTGACAAGTTTCTCCACCAAGTGAGAGATCAATCAGGTTGTGATGGATGCATGAGCCTGTGGGTTGCCAGTAGTGACAGTCTGGTTGATCAGGCAAGCACCAGATGAGCCTAGCCAAGGGCAGGGCTCTGTGAGTAGAAAAATTCCTTAAACTCATCAAAGTTGTATCAAAGGTACAGTATATCAAAAGGGATTATAAAGTTTTTGACGATTCTGATGTTGATATTAAATTTTAGGCTGATATTGATACCATCAGAATTAGGCAATACAACCAATACCGATACTTTGGCACACCCCGAGTAAGAATTTTATAAAAAATTAATATACAGTGGTCCCTCGCTTTTCGTAGTTCTTGGGAATCATAGATTTCGGAAATCATAGGAATATTGTCGTATAAACACGGGCTCACTAATCATAGGTTGACTCGTGAAAAGTAGTTCGTCCGGGACGTGTACGCACGGTGTGAGCCGGGGCAGCCTCCCTACCCAGCCAGTCTGGCATTGTTTACCAGTGAGCAAAGGTCCCCTCACGTGCTCCTACGAAATATTTCATAATATTCCACTCATTTTAGTGCTTGCAAATACTAAATAAGCTACCATGGCTCCAAAGAAAGCTCCTAGTGCCAAGCCTTTGGTAAAGAAGGTGAGAAATACGATTGAATTTAAGAAAAACATCATTGAAGCAATGTTTCACAGGTGCTTGACTGTGACCACAGACACTCATTTGACCCTAAGGGAATTTTGGAGAGAACACTTCAGCATCCTCCATTGCATAAACCTTATAGGTATGGCTTGGGAGGAAGTGACTACCAGGACAATGAACTCTGTTTGGAGAAAATTGTGGCCAGATTGTGTCGACAAGAGGGATTTTGAAGGGTTTGGGACTGACCCTGATGAGCCTATATCTGTTGTTAAATCAATTGTGGCACTGGGGAGTTCCATGGGGTTGGATGTGAGTTTGGAGGATGTGGAAGAGTTGGTGGAAGACCACAACGAAGAGCTCACCACTGAGGAGCTGCAAGAGCTTCAGCAGGAAGAGCAACGGATTGCAGCTCAGAATCTTGCTGCAGAGGAGGAGGAAGAGAGATGGAAGAAGGTGCCTTCTTCAGAAATTAGAGATTTTTGCTATGTGGGGTAAGATGGAAAGCTTTATGGAGAAACATCACCCTGACAAGGTTGTTGCAAGCCATGTTGGCAACAAGGTCTTGGGCCATTTTAGGGAAGTGTTAAAGAGACGCCAGAAACAGAGCTCTCTCCACAGTTATTTTGCGAGACAGGACTCCAGTGACTCTCAAGGTGGTCCTAGTGGCATTAAGAAACAGAGAAGAGAAGCAACCCCAGAAAAGCAATTGGTACCTGAGGTGTTGATGGAAGGGGATTTCCCTTCCAAACTATAAACAATCCACTCTCTCTCCTCCTCCAGTCTCCCATACACTAAGAAGAATCTCCAATAAAGGTAAGTGTTATGCTGTTAATGTTTCATTCATCATTTCCCATTGTATTGTTTATGTACTACATGTATATTTCATGTAAAAAATTTTTTTGTTTTAATACTTCTGGGTGTCAGGAACGGATTAATTGTATTTACATTATTTCTTATGGGGAAAATTGATTCGCAAATCGTAGATTTCGATAATAGTAGCAACTCCAGGAACGGATTAAGTACGAAAAACGAGGGACCACTGTAAAGCAAAAAATACAAAAGCAGCACCTCTAGTCTGTGTTTAATCATTAGCAAAAAGAAAAAAATAACTGGGTGTAAAATTTCCAGCTGTGTGGCATGAATAATAACCATATTTTGCTGCATATAAGATGCACTTTTTTTTTCCAAAATCTGACCCCTTAAAATCACCCTGCATCCTACATGGTGAAGGACATTCTTGGGGTCAAACTTTGGATCAAAGAATAATTCCATTTAACTGGCTCTACAAAAATTTGTCAGTTTTATTTTTCCAACATATTTCATGCTAAATTTAGGGTGCGTCCTATATGCCAGTGCATCTTATATGCCACAAAACATAGTAATTGTTGCACAGCACTGTATTATCTGATGTACATGCAGGGGTGACCCTGAAGGCAGGTTCCTTGATACCAGTGAGGGGCTCTTGATCTAATGAATTGGATTGTGCTCCAGTTCCTTGAACAGTCCAAATACCTTCCAACTCCCTGTGTGAACATTAAAATGGTATAAAATACCGACAGGTTGTTAGGTAAGACACATATGCAACAGTTAGGTATCTTTATTTCGAAACGTTTCGCCTACACAGTAGGCTTCTTCAGTCGAGTACAGAAAAGTTGATAGAAGCAGAAGAGACTTGAAGACGATGTAATCAGTCCATCACCCTTAAAGTTTTGAGGTGGTCAGTCCCTCAGTCTGGAGAAGAGTATTGTTCCATAGTCTGAAACAATATTGTTTCGAAATAAAGATACCTAACTGTTGCATGTGTGTCTTACCTGACAACTCCCTGTGTGCTGTATGACCCCTGTGGGTTTAGTGCTCTCCCATGAGTGTGTAGGGGCACAGTGTAGAGGAAATATTGCTTTAATGTACATCACTTATGAATAATTGCTTCTCTTGTGTGAAAGATAGGACTAAAGTAAAGAATGTTGGTGTATTAACATTTATGTATGATCTCTGCAGAATAGCACCGGCTGTACTTCGTCAAGCTACATATGGAACTATCAAGTTTGGTCTTTATTACTCACTCAAGCAGATGCTGGTGACTAATCCTGATGAAGAAAGATTAGGCATTAATGTGTTCTGTGCAGTCACTGCAGGTAAGACAGTGTAGGATTTTGCAACCCTGTAGCTCCATTTAATAGCACAGTATTACATTTTAATGCCATTGTTGTTACCATCATCATCACTTCCTCAGTCACCACTATGATCACCCACCATTCCTACTGCCACTGCTGACACCTGTCTCTGTACACTACCTCTTTACATCCATTCCAACAGTATTCTAAAAGACAAAACTGTCTGAACTCCTGCTACTAAAATTATACTCATATCAGTAATCTGTTGTGTAATCTCTTCTGAAACAATACGCCTGACTGATGAGGCTACCAAACATGGGAATGGTGAACACAGTAATCAGCAAGAGGTAGGTAAACACACTGAACTCAAATAACATTTCAATTATATCTGTACTACTGTTAGCAACACTTGAGTGCCCACAACTTATGCTCCTACAATGGTCATTACTACTATAGTATCATGCACCTAATTTTTGTGTCTCCTTGACAAACTCTCCAGACCCCAAAGACCTCCCCTCCTCTTTTTCTGATGTTTTCTGATACCTTAATAACAATAGCAAGTTTATTTTAGCATAATACATGTTTGTATAAAGGAGCGTAACAATTTGATGAACATGCCAAAAGCTCCTTTATATGCAGAGCATTTTGGGCATACTTAAGACTAATTTAAGATTAATAAGGCAATAAATGTATTAATTCAAGGATTATGTGGAATAAAATAAAGGTTGGACGTGAAAAGTGGGTTATAGTAAGCGTATATGCACTTAAAGAAGAAAGAAGTGTAGAAGAGAGAGTGAGTGATTTTGGGAAATGTTGAGTGAATGAACCAAGTGTGAGAGTAATGGTGGTGGGGGATTTCAATGCTAAAGTGGGCAAAAATGTTGTGGAGGGAGTAGCAGGTAAATTTGGGGTGGCAGGGGTAAATGAAAATGGGGAGCCTTTAATTGAGCTATGTGTAGAAAGAGGTTTGGTAATAAGTAATACATATTTTATGAAGAAGAGGATAAATAAATATACAAGATATGATGGGTTTATGAAAGATGAGGTTAATCATAGAATTGATGAAGGAAAAAAGGCGAGTGGTGCGTTGAGGTATATGTGGAGTCAAAAAACGTTATCTATGGAGGCAAAGAAGGGAATGTATGAAAGTACAGTAGTACCAACACTCTTATATGGGTGTGAAGCTTGGGTGGTAAATGCAGCAGCGAGGAGATGGTTGGAGGCAGTGGAGATGTCTTGTCTAAGGGCAATGTGTGGTGTAAATATTATGCAGAAAATTCGGAGTGTGGAAATTAGGAGAAGGTGTGGAGTTAATAAAAGTATTAGTCAGAGGGCAGAAGAGGGGTTGTTGAGGTGGTCTGGTCATTTAGAGAGAATGGATCAAAGTAGAATGACATGGAAAGCATATAAATCTATAGGGGAAGGAAGGCGGGGTAGGAGTCGCCCTCGAAAGGGTTGGAGAGAGGGGGTAAAGGAGGTTTTGTGGGCGAGGGGCTTGGACTTCAAGCAAGTGTGCGTGAGCGTGTTAGATAGGAGTGAATGGAGACGAATGGTACTTGGGACCTGACGATCTGTTGGAGTGTAAGCAGGGTAATATTTAGTGAAGGGATTCAGGGAAAACGGTTATTTTCATATAGTTGGACTTGAGTCCTGGAAATGGGAAGTACAGTGCCTGCACTTTAAAGGAGGGGGTTGGGATATGGGCAGTTTGGAGGGATATGTTGTTTATCTTTATACGTATATGCTTCTAAACTGTTGTATTCTGAGCACCTCTGCAAAAACAGTGATAATGTGTGAGTGTGGTGAAAGTGTTGAATGATGATGAAAGTATTTTCTTTTTGGGGATTTTCTTTCTTTTTTGGGTCACCCTGCCTCGGTGGGAGACGGCCAACTTGTTGAAAAAAAAAAAAAAAGATATAGCACGTAATGAAAGTATAGTTTGTTAGATTATGTATTGGTGGATAAAAGGTTGATGGGTAGGCTCCAGGATGTACACGTTTATAGAGGGGCAACTGATATATCGGATCATTATTTAGTTGTAGCTACAGTGAGGGTAAGAGGTAAATGGGAAAAGAGGAAAATGGCAACAAGAAGTAAGAGAGAGGTGAAAGTGTATAAACTAAGGGAGGAGGAAGTTTGGGTGAGATATAAGCAACTATTGGCAGAAAGGTGGGTGGGTGCAAGTAGGAGTAGTGGGATGGGGGGAGGTTTAGGAGGTTGGAGAAATGGTTTTGAGAAGAATAGATGTGGGGAGAGGGGGGGGTGGTTTAGGGTGGTGAGTTATAGAAAGAAGATGATTGGTGGAATGGGAAGAAAGTTTGTGTTATAAAGGGAAGAAGTAGCTAGAGAGGTTTTTTAAAAGAGAAGTGTTGATAAAGAGGAAGTAAGTGAGGTAACCCACGAGAAAGTTGCTATGGGGTTTTTAGCAGATTTTAAAAGAGTCAGTCCGGGACCCCCTACATGATAAATCCGTTCCGAAAGCCATCAATTTCGAACATAGAAATAATGAAATTAAATTTCCCTAGAAATAAGAAATCAAATTAATCCGGCAAGACACCCAGGATATAAAAAGAAATTTTACCACATGAAATATTAAGTTTAATGCAATAGAATAATTACAATAACAACAATTAACAATAGATTAATAACAATAGAATAATTGACACTTACCTTTAATGAAGATCTGGTGATGATTGATGGGATGGGAGGAGGGGAGAGTATGGATGGTGTTAGTGTTTAGAAGGGGAATCCCCTTCCATTAGGACTTGAACTGGCAGCCTTACCACACTGTGTATGCCACTACAATTCTTAAATCTTTCAAACCAACCTTTGCTGGCCTTAAATTCACTCACATCACCACTAGTTGCAGGCAATTTCTTTACCAAATCATCATGCACTCCGACACACGCACTCCACTTTCGTACTTTGCAATTATCTCTTTCTTCATTTCAATAGTCATTAGCACCTTTTTTCTCAAAAGGTGTGTACTAGAAACTTTCTTGGGGGCCCATGGTTACTTATTTTGCAGAAACAAGCACCAAAAACTGTGATAATGTGGATAATATGGAATGTACCGAATGTATCCTGGCTGGCTTGTAAACACTGGCACACATGGGCCAGTTCAGGCCACACGTGGACACGTCTCGTACGAATCGTATCGAATGTCGGGTTTTCCATCGAATGTCGAGGCGAAATTTTTGCGTTAAAATGCATCGAATGTCGGATTTATCGAATGTCGATGCCATCGAATGTCGGGGGTCCACTGTATATGGAGAGTAAAAGAAAGGTGAAGAGAGTGGCGAGAGAGTGCAAAAGGAGAGCAGATGATAGTGGGAGAGGCACTGTCAAGAAATTTGAATGAAAATAAGAAAAAATTTTGGAGTGAGTTAAACAAGTTAAGAAATCCTAGGGAATGAATGGATTTGTTAGTTAAAAACAGAGTAGGGGAGCTAGTTGATGGGGAGATGGAGGTATTGGGTAGATGGCGAGAATATTTTGAGGAACTTTTAACCCTTAAATGGTCCAAACGTATATATACGTTTTTTCAACATCTGAAAGTATGTAAAAAAATGTAGATCTTCTTTTTTGTTTTACATTTGAATATGTGTAAAAAAAACTTTCATCTACATTTTTTGTTTTTTTATTTGAAAATATGTAAAAAAAAGTAGATCTACTTTTGTAGCACTACGAATTTGAACGTCGATTTGTTTGGACCGTTTAAGGGTTAAATGTCGACGAAGAAAGGGAGGTGGTAATTTCATGCACTGGCCAGGGAGGTATACCATCTTTTAGGAGTGAAGAAGAACAGGATGTGAGTATGGGGGAGGTGTGTGAGGCATTACGTAGAATGAAAGGGGGTAAAGCAGCTGGAACTGACGGGATCATGACAGAAATGTTAAAAGCAGGAGGGGATATAGTGTTGGAGTGGTTGGTATTTTTGTTTAATAAATGTATGAAAGAGGGGAAGGTATCTAGGGATTGGCAGAGAGCATGTATAGTCCCTTTATAAAAGGGAAGGGGGACAAAAGAGATTGTAAAAATTATAGAGGAATAAGTTTACTGAGTATACCAGGAAAAGTGTACAGTAGGGTTATTATTGAAAGAATTAGAGGTAAGACAGAATGTAGGATTGCGGATGAGCAAGGAGGTTTCAGAGTGGGTAGGGGATGTGTAGATCAAGTGTTTACATTGAAGCATATATGTGAACAATATTTAGATAAAGGTAGGGAAGTTTTTATTGCATTTATGGATTTAGAAAAGGCATATGATAGAGTGGATAGAGGAGCAATGTGGCAGATGTTGCAAGTACAGTGTACCCCCAGTTCACGATATTAATCTGTTCCTGAGAGCTCATCGTAAACCAAAATTATCGGAAAGCGAATCAATATTCCCCATGAGAAATGCACGTAATGGAAATCAAATTAATCCGTGCAAGACACCCAAAAGTATGAAAAAAAACTTTTACCACATGATATATTAAGTTTAATGCAATACAATAATTACAATAACAATAATAACAATAGAATAATCACAATAGAATAATTGACACTTACCTTTAATGAAGATCTGGTGATGATTGATGGGATGGGAGGAGGGGAGAGTGTTGAAGTTTTTAATGTTTAGAAGGGGAATCCCCCTCCATTAGGACTTGAGGTAGCAAGTATTTTTCCGGAGTTACTTCCCTTCTTCTTTTAATGCCACTAGGACCAGCTTGAGAGTCACTGGACTTCTGTCGCACAACATATCTGTCCATAGAGGCCTGTACCTCTCGTTCCTTTATGACTTTCCTAAAGTGGTTCACGACATTGTCAGTGTACAGGTTGCCAACACGGCTTACAGTAGCTGTGTCAGGGTGATTTTAATAAAAAGAGGTTTGCACTTCAAGCCACTATGCACACATTTCATTAATTTCAATAGTCATTAGCACCCTTGGTCTCGATGGGTTGGCACTAGAAGCTTTCTTGGGGCCCATGATGACTTATTTTGCAGAAACAAGCACCAAAAACAGTGATAATATGGAT